AAGTAGTACATTCCTGTCTCCTACACACCAAAACACATTTAAAGAGCTCTCTAGAAGATGCCTCTGTCATCTCTCTGATAATCATTCCGGAGGTAGGGAAAAACACAGTTGCAAAGCGAGTCTTGGCTCTTATCTTTACCGAAGGTGGATTTTCCACACAGGTCAGGAGAAGGAAAAAAAAAAAAAAAAAAAAAAAGATTAACATGCATAAACCCAATAGCAGAAAGAGGTCTCTAAGCAGCAGCATTAAAAACCTTAAGTCAACAATCTTTTGAGACACCAAATAAGTACAGCAAAACATTTAATGCATTGGTAAGGAGGAGTCAAGCATACCTACTTTCCAATTTATCTCAGTGACACAGAAATAGAAAATTATAGGACCATAGTATGCTCCAGTTCACAGAAACAGATATATACACAAATCCTGCACATTACAGAAAACTCAAAATACAGACAGAAATAGATGAAGTATTACAAATCCTCTGAATTATCCTACATGTCTTATGAGAGAGGAAACCCTAATAATAGGAAAACTGCTTTCAAAACCTCTTCCACAATTAGCTTCATAGTTACAACCACAAACTGCTGAAATACCCTGTACCACATACGCACACCCCCCCAAGTCCTTTTAGGACACTTGGAAGCTTGCCAAACACAAAGTTTTTAAGCAATAAAAGGAAGACAAAGGTTTTCTCCAGATTATACAAACTACTGCATACTGGTAGAAAATTATATACACACTGCGGAAAATACACACACACAAGAAAAGATTTTTATCTCCCAGTAACATTTTGAAACTGTACTTGCTATATGACTTATACCATGTTATTAATATTTATCACCCTTTGCTTTAGTAACAGAGGTATTTTGCCAACCTTATGCATACAGAAACAGACTTCAAAACCACATCATGTGAAAGTAACATGTCTTTGGAGATTAGATTACAGAAAGGCATGCATGCCCTTGCAAACCGTTCTATCACTATCTCAAAGTACTCAACACATGCAAAGACTCTTCCAAGAATAAACCATTAGCAACCACAAATATCATACATGAAGAAATCTTATCATTTACAGTCTCTGTTTAGGAAAACACAAAGCATCATTTTAACATGTGATGCCAATAGCAAATCCCACCATAAGATACTTTTGCCTTAGGTCAAGTAAAAAACCCCAAAATATTCAAATACATTATAAAACTAATTCCAAGCTACAACCTTTTTTTTCCTTGCTAAAAATAAAGTCTGTAGGGCATAGGTTTCCAGTAATTATAGAAGATCTATCATGTCAGCGTAAGGCACAAAAGTGAGAGAAAACTGTTACAGTTGCTGAATCAAAACACATTCCTATCTAGTTATCTCTATTTTCTGAAGTTTTTACATACATAAACAAAGAGAGGTGGGATTGTTTAAAACTCATCAACTTCCCTTTTTAGGCACAGAGAATGACTTCATCTTAAAGCAAGCATTCCTCTGCAGTTAACCATTCATTTCATGTGAAACTTTATGTACAATAATCCCACAGATGCCCAAAAAACAGCTGATGAAGATGAGCCAAAGTAAAATTTAAGACTAACTTGAAATATATGTAACTTCTCTTTTCAGTCAAGAGACAGAACAATTGAGAAGGCAAAAAAAAAAACCCAACTGTCCTGGTTTTGGCTGGGATAGAGTTAATTTTCTTCCTAGTAGCTGGAATAGTGCTGTGGGGTTTTTGGTTTTAGTATGAAAATAATGTTGATAACACACTGGTGTTTCAGTTGTTGCTAAGCAGTGTTTAGAATTAAGTCAAGGACTTTTCAGCTTCCCAAGAGGCATGAGCCTTCCCAAGGAAGAGCACCAGAAGTTGGGAAGGGGCAGAGACAGGACAGCTGACTCAAACTGGCCAAATGACACATCCATACCACATGATGTCATGCTTAGTATATAAGCTGGGGGGAGTTGGCCTGGGGGTGGCGATCGCTGCTTGGGGACAGGCTGGGTATTGGTCAGCAGGTGGCGAGCTATTGCATTGTGCATCACTTGGTTTGTATATTCTATTATTATTATTTTTTTCTCTTCCTCTGCTATCCTCTTAAACTACCTTTATCTCAACTCACAAGTTTTACGAGCAGCTACATGGTGCTTCGTTGCCAGCTGGGGTTAAACCACGACAACACCACAAGCAGCAACCAAGGTGCCCCAGGGAGAGATTAAGCCTTCACCTTTGGTTTCTTTTTTCACAAGGAGATGGTCATTTATAAAAACAGAACAAAGCCAGAGTACTTCAAGACAAAAACATCCTAGTACACTGTATTAAAATAAATTAAGTGTACTTTTTCCTAACACCAAATTCGTGGATACTCACAAATGTACTGTAGAAACAACCTTCCAGTAAAACCTTCATATTCAGCCACAGGTGCCTACATATATTACATCTTCTCAGCCTTCCAACTTTCCCCAGCATGAAAATGAAAACCCTTTTCAGCTGTTGTAGATCAGAAAAGACTTTCAAATACACTTTGCTCTAGCAGAATTTCAGTAGGATTCCTCTTGCCACCTCTGATCTTCAAATGTGTTTTCTCAGTCCAGGAGAAAAGAATAATTCCCCTTTCATTGCAGACAAGTATCCAGAAAACATCTACACTTTATTTACCTTCTCAAACATTTGTCTTCATTTAGTACAGGTACACTTTTCATATCTAAAGTATTAACTCTACGTGATTTTTAAAAGTAGTATTTTTAAAAATAAAAAGTCAATCCTAAATTGCATGAATCATTAAGGAAAGCACTCAAGTTTGCAAGAATTAAGCTGTCAACCTCCAGCAGCATGTGTTAGTTACTATGTGGTGGACTGGCACAAATATGACGCACAGAATATTAAATCTAAAGGAAACTTTCCACTATCATCTGTACAAGCTCTTCTCACCATGCAACTCACCCAACCTGATGCAGTCACACACACATGACAGACTTCAGATGGGCACACTGCCAAAGTGCATTACTAAATAACCATGTCCAAGAGATACAACTTGCTAGCAACACATTTTTAATGTACTTGAAATGTAGTTAAATCAATTCATTCTGGTGATAGACATAATACAAATGGCTGATACAGTTAACTGTAAAACTTTGAAATCTAAGAGTAATACAGTAATTGTGATGAGAATAATTGGAGCTTACCATTTAAAACCATTACCTAGCTAAGTCAATGTTCATATGCTCCATTTACATCCCCTCAGTCCAAAGTTCTTCCCCAACAGTGCCGAGAAACTACTTGCAGCACCAGAAGAGAGCACTAGTGTTCATGGGAATAAGTAAGTAGGGCACAGGAGAGGACGCACACACAAAAACCCACCACACCACTCAAAGAAAAAAAAAAGGGGGGGGGGGGGGGATTACCACTTTCATGCTACAAAGAACCTTCACTGTTGCATTTATTCAAGTAGGTGCAAATGCAAAAAAAACAAACCCCAAACAATGGGGAGGTGGGGGGGAAGGAGGTGTCATATCTATTTTTTCACTTATACATCTGTCCCTGGCCAAAAGCTTAAAACTCATAATTTTGATACTATTCTACTACAACTGCCTACACCACCACAGTGAAACTACATAATGCTTTATGACTGTAATTATATCCCATCCTCTCTGGCTTTAACAGAAGGCAAACACTTCCCCCCTCATTCCCACAAGGACCCATGGATACACCTCTGCCTTTGTATAGGCACCAGATCTGGCAGATGTGGTGGAGCTCTTAGGCTGGAATGTGGCACCAACAAACCATTCCTCTCAAAACACAAGCACACACTACTTACACATGCAACTGGTAAGCTTATATATGCTACTGTAGATTTACGTACTAAGATCAACAGCATATGAGAATTTTTGCACAGTGCATTTTATTCTACATACTTTGCTCTTCATTCTTTTGTCATCAGTACACAGGAGCAGTTAAGGTGGTCCAACCCTGCATGCTGTCTCCAAGAGGATAAAACAGCAGAGGCCTACAGCAGCTTCCCAATAAACTTACAAATCAGTGCAAACAGAATTCGAAATGGTGCCTTGACCTTGACCTAAGAAGCATAGTGCAAGCAGGAGTTTTGTTGTATCATCAGCCCTCATTTTGTTGGATCTGCATTCAGAAGACATACGATAGCCATCAAGGCTCCAGTAACAAAACAAACAAACAAAAAAATTACCAACATTGCTCTGCTTGAAAAATAGAAGTTCAGCTGGAAAAAAAGAAATTAAAACCTTCATTTTGACCGCACATCTCAAAGACAACTAAAGAAGAACTACAAAACCTGATTTTGCAACTGTTTTCCAGATACGTATATGCACACATATAAAATATTTAAAACCTGGCCTTTTTTTATAGGTAAGATACAAACTCATTTGTTTTGTCACACAGCTACTGAAACATATTGTTCAGAATAATTAAGAACCAGTAGGGGTAATTCATGATTCATTTTCATAGCAGCATGTCCAAAATGGTTTGTTTCAGAAGCCTGCATTTCTGTTCTAAGCACGCTTAATACTCCACATAGTCAGGAAATAAAATACACCTCCATTTTACAGAATGCACACACAGCCTCTTCACTATCCATTCAATCTCCCAGAACTGCAAGTTAATAAGCACTAACACTTCAGGGGGGGAGGAAGAAATAATCAGACAAGACTAGCGTTATCTCCTAATTTTGTAGGACAAGTCTGCCAGTGACAGCAACCCTGGAAGTGAAGTGATAAGAAACAAAATCAGAAATTTAGTATATTTGTTAATGCCATCTATGACTACTGTACACAAAGTTGAATGACAATCATTCTACCTCTGGCAATCATCAAGCACTAGGTCTATGCTACAGCTCTCCCACTGCTACCCATACAGAGCATCAAGTAGCCTCAGTTACGAGTGAGTAGATCAGGAAGGGCTTTTTGACATGGTTCACCTGCAGGAACAACTAACAGCAGCACTTGGTGAGTTCGAAATACGTTGTTTTACTTCTCTCAAATTGTTTCTGCTTTTAAACCAGAGGTAAGATGAGCCTATGGTGTGCAGGCAGGCAGGCATCTCCAGTTGCTGCCTCCTTGAAGGACAGCCAGGATATGAAAAAAACCAAAGTTCTTTCTAAACAGTAGTAAGTAAAGGTACTAGTCAGCCTATTAAACAGCCTTTAGCTGAACTGCACAAGCAGTCTCATAAACGCATTTGAAGTTCTTTGGGCACAGCCTTGGTTTACACAGCAATACTGTATCTTCAGAAGTTGCCAAAGTGATGAAACACTACCAGTTCTAAATCAAGCACATCAACCTAACAGCCAAGGGAAAATGCACCAAATATAAATTGGCCCTGTCTTATTTTGTCAGCATACAATTTTTAGCTGGCCTTGCCCTCTAAATATATACGGATGAGAGTAAAATTAATAATTCACGAACAGAACACTTGCCAGGTTTAAAATAGGAAGCATACCATACTGATGGCTTCCCCCTTGGTTGTATTTGCTATGGTCTCATTTGCACAGGAACAGCTGCTTTCCAGATTTTTTTCTGCCCCCCTACTATTACAGCAGTGGATATTGTTCAAGCACTACAGCAAAGACTCCAGTAGAGCTGCAAGAGTTTTGGTATTGCTGCCTCCCCCACATCTTTTCCTGTGAATTTTATCTGTGGTTACACAATTACTATTTTATACAACCAGTCTCACATATAAATAAGATCCCTCCTAATCAAAGCAATACTCAGAGCCTCACAGGAAGATTTGACACTTAAGATTTCACTAAGACCATAGCTATAACAAAAGAGGTTAGGAATACTTAGAGAAGTTTTTCTAGCCTACTAATCCTCTAATTAACTGTTCAGCTTACCCTACTAAATATGTCTGACCAATCTGCTTCTAGAAAACTTACAAAAAACCCACAGGAGCTATACAAACCATGTTTGGATAAGTATGTCCAATACACATCAACAGACTTCAATAAAACTCTCCAGAAGTTGCATTTTATTCTTACTTTTCCAGAACTGTATGTGGAGGGCAGTACAGACAAGACATATACGTGTGCTACTTAAAAACAAAACAAAAACAAACAAAAAAACCCCCTAACAGACCACACCATCACAAAACAACAAAAACCCTCACCACGCTTCGAAAAAAGCAATTCTAAACATGTTAATGTTTTGCTTCCTGCACAGTTGAACATTTAATGTTTATAAATAAATTTATTTCCTTGGTTCTGGTGGGCATTACTCTGACCACTGTCATGCTGAGCACCACTATCTGCAAGGCAACCCATGTCCCAGACAAATCAGACACATTTTCGGATAGTAAACAAAGTGCTTGTCTTAATCAGAACACAAAATTAAATTGGGAGAAAAAAGTCAGAAAGAAAAGGAAGCATAAGCACTGACAAGAGACTGGTCACAGTAGTGACTGGCCATAAGCTACAGCACACCTCAGCAATTTGTAAAAACAAACAAACAAACCCCAATAAATTGGGTTAGAAAAAACACCAAAAAAAAAGGGTGGCTTGATTAATAACATTAAGGTATGACTAAAATGCAAGAGAATATTCGATTAAAATTAGAAGCCCGTTTGAATTCAACCTGAGCATTCTGCAAGCCAGAAAATTTACCACCGTGCATAAAGTTAGCAAATAATGTCACCAATCCAACACAAGATATCAAGTTGCATATCTAACATTACAGTGAGTCGTTTTACAAAGTTGCACTTTATCACTGCGTCACAGCAATAAATTTCATTCAAAAAATTCATAGCTCCATTCACTTCAATTTCTGAAATTACAGTTAGAAAAAATAGCAGTACAATCTTTAAAACTAGTCACCTCAGATCTTTGTCTAGTCTTCTAGGCATATGCATGCCTGATAAACAGTTCTGCGTCCAGAGCTGAAGGTAGCACCACAACGAAAAATTGATCACTGTACTACAGAGACCCTGACAAACAATACCACTGCAATCAGATGCATTTTAACATGTCTAAATGAAACTTTCTTCTTACACTCACACAAGGAAATAGAAAATTTAGTGGTCATCTTATAAAATTTATATAAAACAATTCAGAAGTCTTTAAAGCTATGATAAAGACTATCCATACAAGAGCTAAGCAATAGCTTGTAACACTGATAGTAGAGGTTCACCGCTTCACTGTAGAAATCCCCACAGAGTTTCGTAGCTATGCCACTGAAGCCTGAAGAAAACACTATCTCCGTGAACATTTGACTTCTGTTACACAGCTCATTAAGTTCACTTTTTTTTTCGTCAAAAGTAACACTCAACAGGCTATTTCAAGACTCTTTACCAGAAACTTCCCTGTTATACTTGCACAGAATTACTCAAAGCCACAGCTGATAACCTTCAAATTAAGAAAAGCTAACACAAAGCAAATGGGGAAAAAAAAAGAAAAAAAACCCAAAAACCACCCCACACTCAACCACTCTCAAAATCTGGTAGTATACTCTCATAACTGTAAAAACACATTTTCTTTCTGAATTAAGCCAGTTACTACGATTAAGCAATTCTAACTACACAGACAACGTCTTCCCTAATACAGAAATCTCTCCTTCAAGTATTATTTGTATCACCAGATCTTTCAAAAATTTCCTCCACAACTAGTGAGCCTAAGGCAGCACACCATTCTGAGACACAGTTGCTAAATATCAGTCGCAAAGCCCATTCGAACCATTGTTAAGTTCTACAGCTGCTATTTACATACAGGTTGCATTTTCTTCCCTGGACGAGCTTCTTCCATGCTGATGTGCAGAAGCGGAGATTGTCCTTGTACGAGACCCTGTAACGAATCTCCCAAGAGATCAGAGACTGCGCGTACATGACTGCTTTAGCTCGCTCCGCTTGACACAGATGTACTCCGGGAAATCGCTCCCCAGCCCCGCAGCCAATCGCTCCCTCGCGACTCTCTCATCTCCCAGGCCACCGATTACAACTACCACAGGGTCGCACAAAGGCAGAATGGGCAAGACGGCATACCTTTAATTCCAGCTCAGAGAATACCAAAAAAGGAACTGAAACAGAGCTTGAGACTTAACATTTTCTGCATCAACAGCAGCTAAGAACAGCTCCAAGGTTATACTTTTGCTCTGATCCAAGACTTCATTAGCACTACAGAATGAAAGCACATTTGTACATTGGGTCCCAGAACAGAACAACCCAGAAGTCAAACATCTGCTAAGTGTGTTTATAGCTGTATTACTGACCTTTCACTGAATACTCATTCCAAAGCAGGTTGGTTGGGTTTTTTTTTTTTTTACATAAGCCATATATTCTTGTTCAGCAAAATAAACCAGGGCTTGCTAAAAAAATCCTTTTTTTTTTTTCCTGTTGAAGAGGTAAAAAAAGCCATGCTGTTAGCTGCAATTAATTTCATGTCTCCTTCCACAGTAAGATGGCTCTCTGTTTCAAGTACGATATGAGTAGCTATACTTTATCCTTGCTCAAGCCAACCTTAGAAAGACGCAACTTCCACTCTAGCAGATCAAATTCAGAGCTTCATTTCACTCTTCCCCTCTTCATCACTGACATACTTTAATCTCCTTGTCCCATCATATAGCACGTAGGAAAACTGGCTCTTTAAGGCATTACCCATAACTTAACCTTCACGACATGACACTGCCGCCTTTGTTCTTTTCTCTTCTTTCATTCCTACTTCTTGGATGACAAGAACTCCAGCAATGAAGCTGGACTGGTGCCACCCCAACCAACAAACAAATGAACAACTTGGACAAAACAAAATAACCTACTGTTCATAAACTTGGGGCAAATACCGCCAGCCAAAGAAACATACTGTGCAACTGTGAATATGGTATTTACCACCTAGTAGTTCAAAAATCACACAACCACATTCAGTTTCCCTCACCGCCTTTCTGAGTCCAGAAAACTCTCTAACCTTAGACTAATAAAAGTATTCTCAGATAGTGCTGACAAGAGAGTCTAAAAGTAGTTTGTTTCCACTCTGTAAATAGATGTTCACTCTAACGTGTGTGAATCTTTTCACTTCCAAGCTATCAAGGCCTCTCTGCTGCTTATGTAAATGACTGTAAACTAAATGATTCATATAGGAAGAACAAAGTTAAACAAAAATATCAGATATCCTAACTCTTAGTTATCTTTTCTCAACTGAGCATCCTAAACCAAACCTATTCTTTTCCTAATGCAGAGCACAGATTCATACAGTTCTTCAGCTATCCAAGTGAATATTGAAACTGCTACGCTGAACTGTGTTCTGGTGGCTGTCCCACACCTTAATACAGTCTTCCTTAGCATAAATCCATCCTAGAAGTACTTCAATTTCTAAAAGCACAAAAGTTGGTTTGTTTAGGCTTGGGGTGTGTCTGTGTGTGAAGGGGAAGAGGCTGTCAATTCCTTTGAAACGGGGCGGGGGGGGATGTGGGCATGCCTGGGAATCCCACCTTTAAAAATTTTTTTTTTTTTTTGTAAGTTTTAGAAAGAATACTTACTTGGTTTGGAAACTTAAAAAAAAACCACACACTACACCTCTCTGAAGCAGTTTGTTGAAATCTCTTTCTAGTCTGTAGTTGACCAATTCCTGGTTAATAATCACTCTTTCTTGTAACAAAACACTCAGAAACTTTATTCATTTAAAGAAAAAAATAGAAAGTAAAGAACATGCACATATAGAGCCAAGCTGAGAAATCCAACATTCTCAAATATAAACAAGGGTTGTTTTCATTTCAAACAGATGGAAGATTTTGTCTTTTAAGTCCCATACCAAAATACTTTGTGGATAAACGTCTGCTCTTACCTAAGAATAAATACCAGGGAAAAGCTTCTCATTAGATGGAGAACACCACAGCAACTTCAAACTTCAACTGTCTCAACATGCTTAACTACAGAGGTATTCTAAAACAAACTGTAGGCAAATATATTCAAAATTATCACATCCTTGAACATGTTCAGTGACAACACTATGAGAACTCAGAGCAAAACTATTTGCGCTGCAGCAGTATTTCAACCATATGCTTAGTGCTGCAAAAGAATCTTTATGAAGTGTATGAGGGTGTTTGGGGTTTGTTTTGTTGGGTTTTTTTAAAGAAAAAGAAACAGAAGTAGCTATTATGAAATATCAATCTTCCCTTCTTAATTTTCACTTTTATACCCCCTTCAAGTTCCACTTATCTGAGCTTATCTCTAGCTATAAAAGCACTTTTTTGGAAAGACAGGTCCAAAAAAAAAAAAATGTATCTATTCTCCAGACAGAAAAGAAAGACTTCATGTGAGCTCTCAGATCTTTGGAAAACTTTTTAATCTTTTCAGAAGCAATACACAGTCCATGATTTTCTTGTAAGCAGTACAGGCTTCCATTAAAAATTCCCTCAAAATTAACTAAATTGGACTAATTCCAAAACCTCTGTTAGCCATGGGGTGGAATGCAGAAACGTTTACAATGGATTAGAAGAGTAATTTTCATGTCACTTGTTATGACTAGTTTCTGGATCAATCTGTAAAAATATCCCCATCACATCTTACAGCAACACTAGCATTAGACCAGCAAGCTGCACTTATGACTACAGCCACAAGCTCTTCTTTCCTACCCTCCAAACTTTGCTCTTAAAAAGAGAGAACAGTCATGATCCCCATCTGCCATGAAGTGCCGTAAACTGCCTTATTGCGGGGTCTGCAGAGTCTCTAGCAGGCAGAGCTGTGCTTTATCTGCCATTCTGAGATAGCAGGACACGAGCACGTTTTTATTTAACATAGCTGTGGTGGGCAGGAC